TCAAGGAGTTCACATTCTAATGGGGAATTGGGAGACAGAGAAGAAACATCACTTATCTATCCATCCATCCAGCTACCTACCTATCTGTCCATCCACCTACCCAACTGTCTGTCCACCCATCCATCCATCCATCCATCCATCCATCCATCCATCCATCCATCCATCCATCCATCAGAAAGTCCAGCCACAGGGCAGGTATAAATACCTGGTGGTTCCTGGTGTACAGTTGCAAGAGATATCCTTGGTTCTTACTTTATTTCTTCACTCCTTGATTTTGAAGATCTGTCTCCACTCAGTCCCTAATTCCCTTTCCCCTGTCCTTCAGTTGTCATTTTCATCCCTGGATATGCTGGTTTGGCATCTGATTTTTTTGGCCCCCTGGGGCAGCTAGGTGATGTAGTGGATAGAGCACTGGGCCTAGAGTCAGGAAGATTCATCTTTCTGAGTTCAAATCTGGCCTCAGACACTTATGAGTTATGTGAGCTTGGGCAAGTCACTTAATCCTTTTTGCATTAAATCCTCATCTGTCAAATGAGCTGGAGAAGGAAATGACAAGTCACTCCAATATCTTTGCCACAAAAACCCCAAATGGGGTCATGAAGACACTACTGAACAAATCTGTCCCCCTATATACTACAAATTGGAAAAATGAGTTTTCTAGGGTTTGTCATGAAGGGGAAAAGCATGACCAAATTGAGAAGAAATACTTCATCCTCAGGTAATCAGAGGCATGTATAAAAGAAACACTTCCCTTCTCAGACTAGGTGGCACTTAAGCTTTTTGACTAATTCTTAGGTCTCTAAAATGGTTCATTCCTTTTAGGCCAAAGCCATTTTGTTTCTTGTGGTCCCATTTAAGAATAATTCCTCTCTAGAATCAAATTAACTTTTCCTCACCCTTGCTAAATATGAGTTTTCCTCATTTGGGCATTTTGGGTGTAGTTCATTCAGATATTATATAGCTTAGGATTTACTCTCACTTATAAAGCCTCTGATTCAACCAACACATGGTAAACACCAATCCTGTGCAAGGCATTGTGGCATATAAAGGCGAAAATGTAAGATAGCTTTTGCCTTCATGGGGATTATATTCCACTAAGGGGTATGTGCGTAAATGTGTGTGTGTGTGTGTGTGTGTGTGTGTGTGTGTGGTGGGGGTCAGTGGATATAAAATGAGCACAGGTAAGTAAATGTGAGATAAACTGAGATCAAGAGGTCACTGACAACTGGAGGGGATATCAGTAAAGCCTTTCTGCAGGGTGTGGTAACCTGAGCTTGTGTGAAGAAAGCTTAGCATCCTGAAAGATGGAGGAAGTGCATTCCAGGCTGGTGACAGGGCTGACCAAAGGAACAGAGTGATGGAAGCCCAAGTTTGGAGAACAATCAGGCCAGTTTGGCAGAGTGTCTGAAGGGGAGGGAATGTCAAGTTTTTGATGCTTCACACACATGGAGCATAGACTCATCTTTTTTTCCCCTTTTCTTCTCCCTACATAAATCCCTACATGACTGAAAACTCACTGCTTTTGAAGTTCTTTATCTTGTTTTGGGTCATCATTTATTCAAATCCATAGCTCTGAACCCCCACCAATACATCTCTATGTCCAGCCAAACCAGATAAACCATGAATTCAGAGCAAAAGATTTTAAGAAAATGCAAATAGCAAGACAAAAGAGAAATTTAATCAAGCAGTAAATGGCATTCTGGACCAATACCAAATGACTGCCACCTCACATCCCTCTAGTATAGCTTTTGCCAACTCCCCTCTTCATCTGTAATGCAGAACGCTCCTGGCCCTCATGTGTCACAAGAGAGTAGCATCCAAAGATTCTCTGCCTAACCACTTCTCTTTGAAACTCTGCACAGCAATCTAGTGAATGTTGACTTCTTTTAGTGTGGAAGTCTTCCCCCACAGAGAACATCTCTGCCACTCATACGAGCTTTCCAGCTCTTTTAACTCTACCAAAGACTCCTGTAATGATCTGCCATACTTCTTTTCTGGAGAGCCTTCTTATGTAAACAGACTCTATATCTGGTGACATCCTCAGTCTGTAGGTTAATGCACAGACTTGTAGAACATGTAGTCAATAACATTTCCACCCCATGTCCAAGAGTCTCTTGGTCTCAAGCATAGATAAAAAAAAATTGTAAAGTGGGGATAATAATAGCATTTAGAATTGCTATGAAGATAAAATGAAACATAATTTATAAAGGGCTTTGCAAAACTTAAAGTACTACATAAATACTACTGATTGTTGTTTTTGTTATTGTTATTAATGACACATTTTCCATTAAGATTCTCTCCTTCCTAACTTTATGTGGAAAGGAAAGCATACTTATATCACAGTTCAGAATATATTTGCTGGAAATTAAATTACTAGAATAGAAAGATAATCAAAAGACAGTATTGAGACTCTTAAGCAATTGGTTCCCTACTGCTTGTAACGCTATCTCAATGCTTGCCCCAGTTCATAACTGAGTTTTCCAAGTAGAATGCCACTCATCTGGAGACCTGTGGTTTCCTTGTGATCTGAACTCATGCCCTTTCCCACTCTCAGTCTTCATCACCTTGAGTCAGGCAGGTGTGGATTCTTTTATTGAGGAAATGCTTCCTATGTCCATTCAAAGTTTTAAAGAAAAAGGGAAACTAATAAATCTCATCCAAATATGTTATTCTCATGGCCAAGCAATTCATGAACTAATGTTGGCAGCTTCCTGTCTTTGTTGCATCTAAGATGAAATGGAATTTCCTATCCAAGTGGGCATGGTGCCATGTGAACCAGCAGTTTCTTGGTTTCTAGCTCTAACCCATGGATCTCCAGGAAAATGATAGAAGTAGAAAGCAGAGGGATTCCCTTATATCCAATGGTCAAATGATCTACCTGGCCCATTATACCATTCGTGTGATCTCTCTCCAGAATCCCTGTCTGGCCATCCTGGCATACAGCCTGGGTATAACTGTTCCAGGTGTAGTGTCACCAAGAAGCTAATCCTTTGGGTTTTTAATTCATTGACTCAACACTTCACAACAATCCCATTAAGTAGGGCCATAGCTCTAGAACTGGAAGGGTTCTCAATCTAATCCTCCTCCAGTATCCTCATTCTGACAAGTGAGGAAACTAAGGCCAGAAAGGTCAAGTCACTTGTCTAAGGTCACAAGTAGGATCTCCAGTTCCTCCCAAATTCTCTCCAACTCTTTATTTCTGATCTCTGGCATGAGCTGGTCTGGGGGAAACTAGGGATGTGAGGATAAAGGCAAAACTACATAAGCATGGACCATGTTACCATAACACCAATAAATCACCTCTCTAAAGAGCTAGGCCTTATAGAGCACTTACCTCACAACACTCTCAGTAGATAAGAAGTGGAAGGATTGTTCACTTTCTTTTACAGATGAAGAAACTGAGTCACAGAGGCATTAAGTTATCTCCTCAAGGTTACACATCTGGAAAGAATCAGTCATCTCTTCCTGCCAACTCCATTACACCTGTCTGATTCACTTCTCCATTTTTTTACAAGAGGTAAAAATGGAAATACAAATAGGTAACATGACAGGGATCTCAAAAATCAGAAAATCCCAGTGCAATGTAGTTCTCCACCCAAAGCTTACAAAAACCAAAAACCAGTTATTTGAACCAAGTGTGATGGCTATCCCTTGTAATTCCTGCTGCTATGGAGGCTGAGGCTGATGAGTTGATTCAGCTTGAGAGTTCCTAGCTGTAGTGAACTAGGTGTATATGAGCTACCAGCCCAGGAGCTTCTGGACTGAGAGGAGATATGGGTGGGGGCATCAGGCTGCCCAAGGATGCATGAGCTAGGACAGGTCACAGACATAGGCAAAGTTCCCTTGCTAATAAGTAATGAGATTTTCCTGTGAACACAGGGAACCAGCGTTGTGCTGAGGCTAGCTCCTAAGAGTTAATTGTTAAATTTTTAGTGTGAGCATTTTTCCCTTGGAAATTGACGAGAGCTACCATTTAAGGCTTGATTTCTTTTTTTGTTGTTTGTCTAGACTGAAGAAAATGATGGAGGAAATGTTAATTTAAAACTGAACTTAAAAGTATGTTGTGGGCATTTTTTTGGGAAGAGATTGTTAAGAATTTACCAGCATACACCTGTAACAGGAAGACCCAATGTCAACAAAGAAAGTAAATTATTGGAAAAAACAACACATGAATCATCTTAAATGTCTTTAAGGAATTGATTATGCCTCTGTAGACAGCATGTCATTTTCTGGGGCTGTTGTTTTATCTTCTATTTGCTTTTTCACTTTGTCACTAATCACAGGTTAGAGAAGTAAGATGTCTGGATATTGTTTCAGAACACTTTCTCACAAGGCATCAACCTTAATAACAATTTCTGGCTCCTGATCTGTTCCGCAGATGCTGAGAGAGGTTTCTACATGTAAATGAGATTGTGCTGCAAAAGGCTTTTAGTGCTTGTTCCCTGGCAGGGACTGCATGATCATTATAATTTATTGGCTCATAAAGTTGGGTCATCTGCCCCCTCGTCATTTGTCTGGTGTGGGGCGCGGTGAATTCAGAGCCCCACTTGGAGTCTGGAAGACTTCGTTCCATCGGGCCTCACTTAGCTGTGTGACCTCGATCAGTCACTTCACTCTTTCGGCCTCAGCTTCCTCGTTTGTAAAACAGGATGAAACAGCCTCCTCACAGGGTCGTTAACATTGTATGTTTTGTAAACCTTACATCATTGTAGCAATGCTAGTTGTTATTTATTGAGCCACCCAGGGAGTATACGGCGCTGGGGACAGAAACACAGAAATGATCACGTCACATTCCTTGACTGCAAGAGCTTCCACTCTGCTCTTTCATCTGCCCTGGATGCCGGGGTGACCGGGATGGAGGCATCTCCCCCACACACCTGGGCTGGTTGGAACGCGCCGGCGCGCTCTCCCTGCGGCCCAACTCGGGAGTGGTACGGTCCGGCAGGAGCGGTTGCCATGGACACGGCGGGTAGCCAGGTAACCAGGGAGACAAAGCGGAGGCGGGGGCACCACGCAGGGCTGGGCGGCCCGCCCCGGGCAGGCGGCGCTGGAGATGGAGGCGCTGGGGGCCACAGGTGGGTCGGGGGTCTGGGTCCGGCTCAGCAGCGGCTCGAGGGCGATCTGAGCCCGGAGGTGGCCCAGGAAGCGCGGGGGCCGCTGGCCAGCTGGGAACCATAACGGTGTCTGGGGCCGGGCGGAGGGAGCGCCGAGGGTCAGGAGCTCGGAGGCGGGGCGGGTAGGGAGCTGTTACCTGCCCACCTCCACCTGCTCTTGCCCCACCCCCCTAGGGCTGAAGCTGGAGGGACCGACCCCCTGCCCAGGCGGCCAAAGTCCACCGGTCTTCTCTTTTTACAAATGGGGAAACTGTGGCCCAAGGTGGGGAGGTGAAAGGACTTTCCCCCAAGTTGGTCACACAGATAGCAGGATTGTAGGGAAGGGAATAAACATTTATATAGCACCTTCTGTGTGCCGGTCACTGTGCTAAGCATTTTTACAAATATCTCATTTGATTTTCACAACAACCCCAGAGATAGGTACCATTAGTATCTCTATTTTTACAATAGAGGAAACTGAGGCAAACAGTGACTTGCTCAGGGTCAAACAGCTGTTAAGCGTCTGGAGCCAGTGCTCAACCACCGTGCCTCCTGCTGCATCACAGATCAGAGACCATCTATACCAATCCTCCTTCACACCACTACCAGAAGATAACAGAATGATCTTTGAGTAAGGGGCCATCTGGTCCAAACTCCTCCTTTTTACACATGAGGAACTGAGGCCCAGAGAGGTAAAAGGATGTCTTGTAGGTTCTACAGTTCTTAGGGTCACAGGGTAGATGACTTCCAGTCTACCACCCTTCCTTTTACAGCTGAAGACTATTGGTCAGCTAAACCAGCTCTCCCATTTTACAGGGGAGGCAACTTTTACTCAGAGAAGACTGTGCCACCAAGTGCGGCACAAGGCACCTTCCTTAGTCCAACCTCTTCCTTTTACAGATGAGGCAATAGAGGCAAAGTTGGGTTTATGGAAGGATTCTAGGTAACAGAGGCAATTTAGCCCAACCTCTGCCTTCTATCCGAGTGGAAATGGGTGAGTGTGATGTAGTGATTAAGATCATCCATCACAGACCATCAGCTCAACCTTCTCATTGTACTCTTGAGGAAACTCAAGTCCACATAGGCCAAGGACTTGTCTGAGAGTGTTCAGCAGGCAGATTTGACTAAGTCCTCGGCCTAGGTGGGACCAGCCTCCTAAGGTCTGTGCAGGGGGCTCCGCCCACTTCACTCTCTCACTGTGGATGCCCTGGGTACCATGTAAATTACCTGTGGACTTTTCCTTTGGGCCTTTGTTATGTCAATCAGAGGCAAAACGGCTTAGTAAGATAGACAGCTGGCTTTGGGGCAAGGAAGACTTAGGTTCTAGTCTCACCTCGGACATTTCCTGGCCATGGTCTCTTGGAGGAAGTCATTGAACTTCTGGAAGAAGTCTTCTCGGAGGAAGTCATTTAACAGGCATCTGTTTATTGGGTAAATGGAACAAAGTTTATCTAGAGTGGGGTAAAGCCCAACCTAGTTGAGAGTAATTTACCTCTAGAGCAGGAATGCAGCACCTTTCCTGTGATGTCAAAAGGCCACTCTGACAACGAGGAGGGAGCATTACAATTGATATTAACAATATAAAGTTAATTTTCCTGTAACAAATATTGAGTAAGCACTGGAATACTAATGCAAGCCAGGAGAAAGTCAGTTCTTGCTCTCAAAGAGCTTATAATCTCATGCGGAAGACTCCAGGGCTGGGTGTTCTATCCAGCCTGCCACCTAGCTGCCCCATCTATATGTTGTAGACATGACTTAAACCCAAGTTTTCCTTATTTTAAGGCTTACCCTTTCTCTGCTAAGTCAGGCAGAAGTTCTTAATTAAGGTACTTACATCAGTAATTTACATTAGTTAGTTAAGATACCTAAATTATTTACTCAATTAAGGTACTTAAATTAAGAGATATTTAATAAAAGTCCAACTGAGTCGTGGAATTCTCCCCAAGTATCACTTCTAATTAAAAAAAAATTAAGGCTCACTTTTCACTGAAGTCTCACTTAGATGTCACATCATGGTATGGAGTTGACTGTAGGTTCTCAAAAGCTATGCCTGTGGAGTACAGCAGATCCTACCAAGCTGGAAATATTTCAGATCTGGGCTAGAGAGTGATGACCAAATTGGCCTCAGGCTGATGAGCATTTTGGCCACTAGTTAAGACCATTTAGGAAAATATAGAGGGGTTGAACTCTGAGTTAATAGAGGAAAGAGTCATCCTCATGAAATTTCGAATCTGGGAAGTATTGTAGTAGAAACAATTTGGTATTTCTATTTCTCTCCCCTCCATATAGGGTTTTGATCTCCCAACACCTTTATCTCACTTTGCCCCCAAATAAAGGGACACATTAAGTCTGAATGTTATGAGCTTTTTTTATATGATGTTTAGATCATTAAGCCATTTTTATCAACAAAAGACTGTTGCATTAAGCACTTATGTGTAAGGATGGGAGTGCAAAGAGGTATGGATTCCTTACTACAGGGTTTGTGGTCTAATTAGGAAGATTGGGCATAACCCAACGCAAGTTAGAATATAAAGTTCAAATGAATGGCACAGGGCCAGACATGTTCAGAAGAGGAGGGCATTTGAGAAGGGAGAGATCACATCTTGGGAGAAGAACAATTTCACAGTAGAGTTGACTCTTGAGCCTTTGCACCACAAATAAAGGAAGCATAAGATTATTGAATTAAACAGAGAAGGAAGGTTAAAAGAGTATTTCTGAAATACATAAAAGTTCTGAGTAGGGCATATTCAGGGATATGGAGTTGGGTATTTTAGTTAAAGAATATGGAGCCCTCTAGGGAGATAAGGTTAGAAGGAAGGGTGAGGTAAGATGGTAGAGGGACAAGCCTGAGTGCCAGGCCTGGCAATACGGACGTTGAACTTGATTCTGTAGAGAGTGGGAAGCCATTTAAAGACCATAATAAGTGGCCTGATAAGTGAAATGCAAAAGCTGTTTAAGTTATTAAAAACATTGTTGTAAAGTTTAGCAAATAGGGCTTTCAAAAACATAATAGATTCTCCTCCAAATTTTCTTATTTGTTACAGATTAAAAAAGAGTGTGATAGAGGAATGAATACTTCATCAGCAGCTTGCTTAAATGATATGGGTGATCTTTGTAAAGACATATGATGTGATTTATGGGATTATGTGGGCATAGAATGTGGAAATGGAAGGGACTTTTAGAAATCTTGCCACTTCCTCAACAGATGAGGAAATAGAATTATTTTCTAGATAAAAGAGACTATATTTTGAATCTAGTTTTAAATCTAGATTTTGTATCAGGAAAATGATCATTATTGGTAAGGTAGCTTTACGTGCAGATTGTTGACTGGATGTAATCATGCCCCTTTTCTATGGTTTTGCCTGGTTTACTCAAGGTAGGATAAGACCTGGACCAGTGATTTCAGTGCTGTAGGGATTTCTTGGATGAAGAAACTCCCAGCACCTTGATTCTCACATCCAATATGTTTCAGACGCTGTACTTGAACCCAGATCTTTCAGGCTCCTAAGCTAGCCTTCTATGCTCATATTTGAATGGCAGCAAGGAACACAAAATAGATCTTGAAGGTATGGTGAATGGAGGGTGGAGAGTTAGAAGTGTAACCAGGAGTGGGGAAGGATGGCTAGCTATACCTCTCCCCAAAATAGAGGTCCCAGAAGGAACTCACCAGTGGAAGAAGGGGCCAGAACAGAGAGACACTCCAGGGAGAGAAGGCCCAACAAGCAGGAATGGGATGCCAAAAAGAAGCACTGCATTAGGGTTCACAGCACCTAAGAATTAGGATTCAAAGCTTAACCCTGTTAGCATCTGGGTGAAGTGGGTCCAGCCACTTAACCTCCATGTAGGCCTCTCTTTTCTCATCATCTGTTGATTAAAGCAGAGGTGCCATCTACACAGCTGGGCTGCATGTTAGCCCACTGTTAAGGGTAGCCCAAAACAGATTAAAATGTTATAGGGAAATATTTAACAAGATAAATAAAAATACAATAAAACCAAGATAATATTACATTTTAAAATAAATAAAGTCAATATGCAGCCTCTCGGGGATCCCTACGTATGGATTAGTGGCTCCTCTTTCTATTTGAATTAGACATATTGGATCACATGACCTCTGAGGTTCCTTCCAGCTCTAAAATTACACAATATAAAGCCAATATTGAAGAAATGTTAAAGTGAAATTTCATAAGATTAAAAATAGAAAACTTTTAAACTGAGTTTACTTAAAAAAAACTTAGGTTTGCTGTGCTCATTGGCACTAGAAATTATCAAGGGTAACAAATAGCTGGACAATGTTAACTCACTTAAGTACATGGTAGAAAAACTCATGTTTAATGAATTCTAAAATGGTCTATAGTTTTAAAAGTACTAAGGCTTTGAAATCAACCATTCCCCCCCCCCAAACTTTCCATTTATAAATTTTCATGTGCTTGAATAAAGTACCTTCCTTAACCTCCTTTTCTCCTAAGGGATTCCAATAAGATTATAGATATTAGTGACAAACGGAGTTTGCCTCTAAGGCAGGGTGACTCATTGTGACAGTGTGTGTCCTAATGGAGTCTCCCAGCTTTTCAGACCTTCTCAATTTTCCTGGCCTTATTCCATTGACTGCTTATAGTCTGTTTCCTCAGAATGGGAATATGTATTGTGCAACTATCAAGCCAGTCTATATTAGGTCAGGTCATATTTCAGGTTTTTATACACACACACACACACACATACACACACACACACACACACACAGTACCTGGAAAAGTCACAACATGCTCAAAAGACTTTTTGGTATCCCACCACCACCACCACTACCATCATCATCATTATCTTAGCATATAATACTGACTTTTTTTAGCTTGAATCATGAATTTGTGTTTTCTCCTTATTTTATTAGTTAAAATCTTTGACCATAGATTGATACTTTACCATATTCACATTGCTATTGTCTTGGTACCCCAACAAAGTTGATTATTTCTCTTTTGGCTTTAAGA